AATTAATACTCCATGGTTTTATTGAAGGAGAACGTTGGCATTACATAGGTAGCAGCAAATGGAGAAACATGGCGGCAACGCGAAGAGAACGTTGCGCGCAGGAAGTAGTGGAAGTGTTTTTGGTACAATTAAACAAAACGAGTACAATAATGTTTACATTTCAAAAATCGCACTTTCTTCGTAGAAGCGTTCCACTACAGCAGCCCTCGTCTAGAAAGGGTTTACACTTTCGATACATAGCGGCTACGTTTGACGGGGGGGTGTGCTGGTCGGCCAACATTTGGTTGTAGCGCGGAAGGGTTGACGAACAGGAAGCGACCAATGAAGCTCGAGTTGTCACCGACAGTCTTCTACGTTGAACTGTACCAGTAGTAACGTGCCAGGTTTGCTGCTCGAGTTGATGTGCCAAGTTTTTCTATCGGGTTGGCATGCCACACCAGCGTGGCTCGTATCCAGAGTCTGAAGGTTGCTTTCGTAGGTATTCGGACCAGATAAAGCTGCAGACGTAGGACGGAACCAGATTGAGCGAAGGAGCCAGAAACGACCAGTGCGAAACCATTCGTATACCAGATATATTCGTAACCAGAAAATCGACTGAGTGCATTGACAAGAGCGTGGGTGATCAGGCCAGCTTTCGCCAAGGCTGACTGAAGTCGACGGTACCAACAGGACAATGGTCGGAGGTATAGGCTCGGGATAAAAAAAGAAGAAAAGGGGTAAAAGTGTAGCATGCATGCAGTACGTGTAAAATCCTATGCCGAACCCGTGGTTGATTGGTATTTAGCCGAGAAAGCGTACAGGTAGGCGTACGCGGCGATCGGAACGCGAGACAGTAGCCCCGTGCGTACCTCGTGATCCTGCATTCTCATCCGCAGTCAAATGCGGCGTGGTCTGCTGATCTGGACGTGAGACCGGAGTTTTATCTGTAGATGGTGCAGATGGCGCGTGCTGCTGACTGGGACGTGAGAATGAGGTTTTTGATTTCGCTAGCGTGGGATCAGAAGGAAAAATAAGGATCCCGCTAGTGAGTTGGACGAGTCCAGCATTAAATCTCCATTTACCAGGTAGGGCGCTGTCATTGACGTGCGCTGGTATGAGAAGATCAATGCTGACTGTGTTCATCAACCTTGAAGGTCTTTTCGTGACGAGAGATCACGTGCAAAAACTCCTTCGTAAGGTTGTTGAGTACCGAATCTACTAGTAGGAAAACCTGCGGACAGGTAAATAACTCTCGAGGGAGAGCGACCTGTCGATGTTATATTCGAGTTCACACCGGAGGCAGTATTCGAATCTACGCAGATAGTCGTTGGACGTAATCTGATATACATAAAATCGCTGCTCCGTGGTGTGAAGAAATCCCCCAGGTAGATGCAATGTCGTGCCGTATATGAGTTCAAAGGCGGAACATTGGATATCTGCCGTTGCTGCTCCGTAATCCCATGTCGTCTCCAACAAATGCCATCTTTCTGCGAACCGAGTGGAGAAGAGTCTTAAGGACTGTGAGAAAGACGAAGTAATACATATAGCAAGTAAATTGTCAAACTCACGCTTAGCGAAAACTAAGTTGTCCAGTGCCAGTCGGCGAGGTTTTGCCGTGACTGGGGGTCTGCAGGTGACGATGTGGCTTACCACATTATTAATCACCAGTTGAATCTCCTCGGTTTCGTTACTTTGGGGAATTTATCGAATATAAGATGAAATAAATAGTAATGTAAAAAATATAAATATTAATGATTCGGTACATATCTGTTTGCGCGTTAAAAACCATGGATTTGATATTCGATGAAGTATCGAATAACGCACCCTACGTGAATCGAATAGCAATTCATAGTGCTGTAATGGATCGATACCGAGTATGGCTATGGGAACATCAGAAGGGATGAACGTCCATAGATACTGTCGTCGGATACTCAGGTTGATAGTTAGCTGTCGTGTACCGTAGGTAGGAATGACAGAGCCATTCGCAGTGCGTGGTCGAAGCATCGTAGCTGATGACTTACTGCTACCAAACGATACGACAGAAACTTGGGCACTTGTGGCCATCAAGTACCTAGCGTTAGTGCAAAAATTGAGCACGTAAAATAAACTAACAACCTGAAGTGACGGTGAGGAGACAGGTGAAAATGCCATGACCTGCACCTCGGAGTCTATTATCTATCTACCATTTCGAAAAGTTGTTGCACGTATAAAATATATTAAAGACATTATTAATAGTATTGCAACATTATAAAAATGGTGGTAGATGAATAATAGACTCACCGTAATTGACTTCTTTTGAAGAAACGTCAGTCTCACCAATTTTAGTGAGCGGGTCCGGATGCCAGATTGACTATGCCCACCACCAAATGTTCCATACGGTCACGTGACGAAAAGTAGAACAAAATAAATTAATACTCCATGGTTTTATTGAAGGAGAACGTTGGCATTACATAGGTAGCAGCAAATGGAGAAACATGGCGGCAACGCGAAGAGAACGTTGCGCGCAGGAAGTAGTGGAAGTGTTTTTGGTACAATTAAACAAAACGAGTACAATAATGTTTACATTTCAAAAATCGCATTTTCTTCGTAGAAGCGTTCCACTACAGACTGATGCTTCGTGTGCATGTGTGTGTGGTCATACCGCCAATTTACTTAGCAGGCTAGAAGATTTTCGAGGTACGAGCAGCTGGTGAATACGTATAAAATATCTATCGTACGATAACCATATAGCCGCAGAAATGATAATGGGTAACTGGTGTCATCGAGCCATTGCTCTTATAAGCGGTTCAAAACAAAGTATTGAGATACAGCAAAAAATGGAGCGAACTCACCTTAACCAGAAAGGTCATTAGTGTTATACAGAACAGTAAAATAATTCGATGTTTCGAAAGTTCAGCAGTGAATATAAATTCTTAACATGATTCAATGAGCGATTAACATAACTCCGTTTTCGTCAAAATATAATAACATGATGAATCAGAATGACAGTTCTTCCATGTTAGTATGATAATGGTAACGATAATTGAATGATTCGAGAAACAGAATAATATGACGTGTTGATATGTAATCGAAGTGCTGATAAGATAATATAATTTTTGTATTTGTGTATAACCTGCGAAGTGTCCTCGTCAGTCACGAGAGTGTGTTGTCTGCGCTGCTCATGGAGCTTGGTTCGTTGATTCGTTCGTCGAATACACTGGGTTCCAAAGCTGCGTTGTCGATGTATTAGTGTATTTTGGGTTAAAATCGGCGTCGGACTCACCCCTTTTTCGGGAAATTCGATTCGATGTCTGGCTCACCACTTTGTTGGCTGCGACAGATTAGATGTGTAGCTTACCAGTCTATTGCGGTATTCAGTTCAATATAGGGCTTACTACGTTCGTACCGGTTATCTGGCTCCATTACTTATGAACATTTGAATATGTTTTGAAATAAATCTCCACAGCAGTTTCTGTAAACTTTACTTCGGTAAACCCCGTTTGTGCGACAGTGGTAATAAGAAGCCCAATACGGATTCGAGTGGATGAGTTTATTTCAAGCAAATGTTCACGAAGACATGATAACAAAATGCGTGCAAACAAAGCGAAGAGAAGCGAAATAAATTGAGGTGGTGAACACGAGTGAGCCAACTCGATTTGACGAGGCATGGCTAAGAATTAATAGTCAGACAAAAATAAGACCGACATGTAGCAAGCGAGGTAGGCAAGCACACACATGAATAAAAGCAAAGCAGATACGAGCGAGTCACTGACGAGTGTCAAAAGACGAGTGGGCTTATTATTTCGTCCAAAAGCTGGGACGAGCCCTGTAAGCTATACATTACAGGACTCACTACAAACCTTTCACGTGTGAACGTTTTTCAGCTTTGATGCTCCTCTTCATTTGCTTTTTTACTTCTGTGTATTCAGTTTGTGCCTTTGCTTTCTCTGCTCTTGTTAGGCTGATGTTGACTGCAGTCTTCTTGTTCCTCCTTTCTACAACTTTTTCAATAGTAATAACAAAGATCCGTTCCAATTGTTCTTCATGGAATTTTCCTTTCCATTTAATGGATCGTGAAAATCCTGGAACCTGAAGTCGTTAGGTTATATGGAATCCTGAAGAAAGACCGCAATAAACTTTTGTGATGTTGTGCGCCACATTGTCCAGAGTTTCTTGAGTTTTAGTTTCATTTTGGTGACCAGCGGGTGGTGATCAGAGGCTATATCAGCTCCTCTGTTGATTCTTACGTCCTTCATAGTTCTTCTGAAAATTTTATTGATACAAATACGGTCAATTTGGTTGATTATTTTGCGTTGCTTTCTTCTCACTGGTCATTCTGGTCAACGATAGTTTCCAGTGAACTTCTTCCTTGTATCATATGGATTTTCCATTTTTCCTCCTCCACCTTTTCCGCTGTCTTTCTAGATCTTCAACATATTTACCTTTGTCGTCTCTGACGCTCTCTTCATTTGTTTGCTTGCTTCTGTGTATTCAGCTTGTGCCTTAGCTTTCTGTTTTGTTGTTCAGCTGATAGTGATTGATTTCTTCTTGTTCTTCCTCTCTTAAATCTTATCCAGAGTATCAACATAGATTTTTTACTTGTGATGTTGGTTTATGTGGCAAGGAACCTCATGAGATGCTGAAGTTAATGACTCCTTGATCCGTTGAGCATGTTTGTTAATGGAAGACTGTCAGTATCAATCTCGGTGTTTATGGCTTCATTGGTTTGTCGTTTCCTTACCAACAAAAACCGTGTGTTTCCCTTTCATTATCTCTTTAGGCTTGAATTTCATACAAATCCACTCATTTTTGTCATCTCGTTTTTCTTGTGAGATTTTCTCTCCCTATTAATCCTACAGTTTCATTCACCTGACTAACAGTGCGAGGAGTTATTGTGCTTTCGACGACTGGTAGTTTCATTGCTCTCTGAGCGCGAGACATTACGATCATGTATGGTACTGATCTAGACAAAGGTTGTTTCCTCCCACTACATACTCATCATCACAACATGCGCACCGATTAACCAATCATACTTGAGATAACAAGTTTAGGATTTTAGCGCGGAATTCATCTGTTTATTTATATGGTTAAGTAGTATTTTCGCATTAAACCGGACTTCGCCTCATGTCGCAACCTAATTCTAATTCATAAACTAAACATCCAACTCAAAATTGGATTCCCAATTCCTCACATTATTTTACAACCCTCTTTTTTCCCTGATAATTTGGTAGACATTCTCAAGGTCACCCTGGCATCGCTTAGACGCAGTTCATCAATTGTTTTCTGATCGAGGGTATGTAAGTTTTACTCCGTTGAAAATCTAGACTATTTTGAGTCTTTCGTTTTGTATTAGCATTCATGTTAGCTCTAACAGACTTTTCTATAATTAATGACCAGTTTATTTCGGCTTTATACCTCCCAGTGACAAAATCAGGATAGTTATCCTTTAACCAAGATATTTCTCACGTTGATTCCTTATTTTAAAATCACATGATTCAAATTCAACCGTGAATATTTACTAGTAACAATATTGCAGTCACTTTTGATCAGTTTGATGGCTATTGGAAACTAGGAAGTGTAATCTAACAAGGGTGTTCTTTAGGCGAAAAACGCATATGTCAGAGGCGAATGGTCTGTACGGATTGCTGAATCTCTACTATGCACCAAATGACTGGAATGCTTGACAGTTAGGAGACAAGCTAAAAGTTTACCGCCGATCATGCTGTGCCTTGTCTGGTCAGGGTCTAGTTTCTTTGAAAAAACGCTGGAAGTTTAACTTCATTGTTCCTCTTTTATGGGAGATCTAAAGTAAAAGAACACAGAAGACCCTAATAGGTTAACCTGTGAGATTTCTAAGGATGGTAGTTCAGTTTTAGCAGTTAGATTGACCGAGATCCTGGGTAGAATTTGGGACCTGGACGTAATCCCATCTGACTGGTCTCAATCGCTGATTTTCCCAATTCATAAGAAAGGATAAAAGTCTTCTTGTTTAGCCTCAATTATCCTTAGACGCCTAAGTAGATCTCGTGAAGAGCAGGCTAGAGAAAACCAGGCTGGTTTTCGATCTGGACTTGGCTGTATAGATCACATCTTCAGACTACGACAGGTCCTGGAACACAGACACACATTTAGGCGTCCGACAATAGTTGTCTTCCATGACCTTAAAGCGGCATTTGTTTCTGTTGATCGTGAGGTTTTATGGCAATGTTTGTCATTAAAAGGTGTACCAAAGAAGTACATTAACCTTATACAAGCTCTTTACTCGAACACCACTCGTAGGGTGAGAGCTTATGGCGAACTGTCATCGGAATTCTTTACTTCTAGTGGTGTCCGTCAGGGCTGTCCACTCTCTCCATTCTTGTTTAATTTTATCATAGACATGCTCCTAGAAATAACCTTATCCTCGTCTGAATTTTCAGGAGTAGATCTTTTACTAGGAGGCTCGCTTATCGACCTAGGATATACCGTTGACATAGTTCTATTTGGTGAAGACGGTGACAAAATGCAGAGTCTTCTGACTACCATAAGCAACAATACAAGCATGTTCAGGATGCGGTTTTCCCCCTCGAAATGTTGCTTCAAGATTGGGTTACATCGGCACCTGAACTAGTGATAGGGAGTGAATCAGTTGAGCTTGTAAACCGCTTCACTTATCTCGAGAGTCTCATCAGTGCTGATGGCCTGGTGACTGACGAAATCTCAGCACGGATAAAGAAGGCTCGACCGGCCTATGACACCTCACGGAGTAGACAGGATTGCCATCTGTCAACCAAAAGTTGAGTTTACTGCATAACAGTTCGCTCTGTTCTGTCCTATTGATGTGAAATATAACCATTAAAAGTGGAAGATATTCTTAGGTTTCTAGTACTCGATCATAGGTGTCTTCGAAGCATTGCTCGTGTATCCTGGGACAACGCTGTTATTAGGACACGGGTGCTAGGTAAAGAATGGCAGATCAATAGATGAAGTAATGAAACTTCATCAGTTGAGGTGTTTGGGACATGTGTTACGTATGCCTAACCACTAACTGCCTCGAAGAGCTTTGTTTTGTAGTGTAGGAGTTGGTTGGAAGAAAGTTAGGGGCCGCCAAACCAAAACATGGCAGAAATCCATGAAGTCATTGATGAGTGGACTTAGCCATGTCGGTAATTGTCGACTACCTGGTTGGGGTCCGTGAGATGATAATAATCAATGGTTAGAGACCTTGAATTACATGGCTCAAAACCGTTTGCAATGGCGCCGGTGCATTTATGCTTTGTGTTCTCTCAAATCCTAATCTTCTAGATTCTTCAACCCCTCTTCTTTTGACTTTCTGAACTTTTCTCACTGAATAATATCTTCTCATCCTAACCTCTTCGATTACTTCTAATACCTTTACTACCTCTACTAATACAGGATTTGAATTGACAAATATATCTCTGTGCCGATGTGATATGGCAACATGAACTGATGTACTTACGTACGAAGTTCTTCGTTGTATCTAACTGACTGACCATCTCAATTACTAAATTCTTCCCTAACATATAGTCATGTTATGTCACATTCTGTTTCAATAATTTCGATGCAACATTGTCCGAAAATAAGTCACAGAAATTTATTTTTTTTAAAAAAAATTACTTTTAGATTATTTATTCTACTAACTAATGGGTCGTTCTCGTTCTTCAAATTCACTCAATGAAAAACATATAAAAAATTATCACACAACCACAACAACAAGAACTCATAGTAGTCATTCACATCATAATAAAGAGGTGAGAAAAAAATCCATTCATCGAAATTCATCCAATCACCATCAACGAAAAACTGAAATTCATCAACATATTACTAAAAAAGTTTACAATATGATAAATGAAGCGAAAAAACACAGTACTACTACTACCAGTACTCGTCATCATCATCATCATCACGCAGGAAAGCATAAAAAGTTACCACCAGCTTGTGGATGTCCATATCATTGTGAGCAAGAAATTCAATCGCTCCATGATAGTATTGAAACACTTCGTGCAGGTTTAAATGTTGCCTATCATAAAGAAAGACCAATTTTCCAATTAGATCATTTTATTGATGATCATTATCAACTACTGTCGGAAGCATGGATTTCTATTGGTCCATCAAAATTGAAAGATTTAGTTTCAGCTAATCTTTTATCAATATGTTCACGACGTGAACGTAAAGATATGATGAAACAAACATCATCATCCTCATCATCCGGTAAAAATGTTCGAGTATCATGTATTATCCAACCATATGTATCATTTAATGATGGAAATGATTATCAGTTGGGTATATCAGAATTATGGCATCGATGTATTCAAGAATTAAATGATTTATCAATTGATCAAATTAAAACTATTCTAAATGGTACAGTAAATTTAGATCCGATGGAATTAGTTCGTCAAACTACTAGTACTACTACTAATACTACTAGTAGTAGTAATACAAATGTGAATGTCACTATAGAAAAAGAGAATTGTACTCATTCTTCTCCATCGAAATTAAATTTATTAAATGGAGAAAAACATTCTGACATGGAAATACATGATGCTGATTCAACTACTGCTTTGTGTTCTGTGAGTTTTTTTCTTTTGTTTATTTAGTACAGTTAAATTTTTCTTACTGTCCGATTAGTTATATTGTTTGTCACTTAAAGTTGAGGTGGTTGCGACATGTGTTACTACGAATGCCGAACCACCGAATGACTCGACGAGCTATGTTTTGTGGTGTAGGGGAGTAGGTTGGAAGAAAGCCTGAGGGTGGCCAAACCAAAACATGGCAGAAATCCATGAAGTCACTAACAATTGGACTGAGTCATGTTGGTAGATGTAGGCTCTACCTGGTTGAGGTCCGCGAGACGAAAGTCACCAATGGTTAGAGACATTGAACGACATGGTTCAGAATCGTTTGCAATGGCGCAAGTGCATCCATTCGTTGAGCTCTCTCAAATCCTAATCTTCTGGATTCGTCAGCACCTCTACCTTTGTCTTTCTAACCTTATCTCACTGAATTATAGTTCTTGAATAATACCTTCGAACCCTAATCTTCTTCATTACCATTAATACCTCTACTATCTTTATCGTTATGGGATTTGATTTGACATTTGCGTCTGTGTGCTAATGTGTTATGGCAACCTGAACTTATTTATGTACATACGTACGAAGTTCTACGTTGCAACTGACTGACTGACTTGTCACTTAAAGACCCTGTGGTGGTCGGTTTGGTCACCTACTGAATATTTTTTGTGATTTTACGGTTCATTTTTAGTTGTTTCCTCTTATCTTTGACGTAACATAGCTCTTTTTAAAAATATATATATATATATATATATATATATATATTGATTAGACTGAGACCTCAGTAAAATGTAAATATAGCCTATAAATTACTTACTTGCGCCTATTACCCCTAGTGCAGCATAGGCCCAGCAACTAGCATTCTCCAACCTACCCTGTCCTGGGCCTTCCTTTCTAGTTCATTCTCTTGTCTGCCTTCCTTCCTCAACTAGAATCTGGTTTGTTCTTTCCCACAACAGGTTGTTGCTGATAATGTCTGGTAAACGGATCTGAAGTATTTTGCGTAGGAAACTGTTACTAAACACTTTTATCTTGCGAATGATGGTTTTGATAGTTTTCCAAGTTTTTGCCTCCATACAGTAAAACTGTTTTGACATTTGTATTGGAAATAATGACTTTGGTGTTGGTTGATAGTTGTACTGAGTTGTGTATGTTATTCAGTTGTAGAAATGCTGTCCTTAGTTTGCCTTCACATCTGCATCAAATCCACCTTGCTCATCACTGATTCTGTCCAGATATGTCAAGGCTTTTTACATCTTCTATAGCCTCTCTGTGAAGTGTGATTTGTTTGGTGCATGTTGTGTTATATATCAGACGATCTTGCTTTTCCCTCTCTCTGTATTGAGACCTAATGTTGCTGAAGCTGCTGTTACACTGGCCGTCTTCTCTTGCATTTGTTGTTGGGTGTGGGATAGAAAAGCTAGATCATCTGCAAAGTCAGGGTCTCCCAGCTGCATCCTAGCTGTCCACTGTAGCCCATACTTCCTCGTATATGTTGACGTCTTCATGTAGACTAGATATAATTCTATTTGACTGGTCCAAATCCACTGGTTGTTCTAGTTAATAAGGAAAGATTAATCATTTTGACTAGTTAAGTGTCTAAAATAATCACCGGACGCTTGACTAAAGCTCTTGAAGAGTAACATTTTCTGTTTTGGTAACCGAGGGACAAGTATACTGTCTAAACAAAGGTTATCTGTAGGCTACTAATATTGCTAGTATATACTAGGGCTACTGAATGGATCAATGCTGTTGTGGATTCAGATTACTAGATAAAGATGGAAATTCGATTGATCAGGTAGATGGTTGAAATGTGCGTTATGTGTATGCCTAACCATCTTGTACCTGAATAGGCAATGTCCATATGGTGTTGAAAGAAAGGTTGGAAGAAAGCTACGAGACACCAAATCACGAAAACATCACACACCATGAAGCTACGGACTGTCGGATTGAGCTTTGTTGTTTGGTTTAGACTTTTTCTGGTTAAGGTCCTCACCGTGATCATAACCAATGGTTGGAGATGTTAGATAACATGGTTCAAATACATTTACCCACTATCTTTCTTTATATCTTGAGTTCCAAAATTATCGTACGCTTTTTTTTTAATTTCACGAATTAGAACGGAAAGTACAAAACAACACTAAGATGAAACCCTAGTGTATTCATTATCTGTTTAAACACAACTTACTTACTTACGCCTGTTACCCCGAATGGAGCATAGGCCACCCACCATTTTTCTCCAACCAACTCTGTCCTGGGCTTTCCTTTCCAATTCTGTCCAATTTTTGTTCATTCTTCCTTGTTCCTTGCCCTTCCTCTCTTCCTTTTGCCTTGAGGAGTCTATTTGAGGGCTTGTCTTGTGACGCAGTTCCGTGCTTTTCTCAGTGTGTATCCTATCCACTTCCACCACTTCTTCCTGATTTCCTCCTCCTCCACTGGAATCTGGTCCGTTCTCTCCCACAGTACGTCGTTGCTGATAGTGTCTGGCCAACGAATCAGAAGTATTTTGCGTAGACAACTGTAAATAAACACTTGTATCTTATGGATGATGGCTTTTGTAGTTCTCCAAGTTTCTTCTCCATACAAAAGAACTGTCTTGACATTTGTATTGAAAATTCTGGTTTTGGTGTTGATTGATATTTGTTTGCAGTTCCAGATATTTTTCAATTGTAGAAATGCAGCCTATGCTTTGCCATTTCGCGCCCTCACATCTGCATCCGATCCACCTTGGTTGTTGATGATGCTGCCCAGATATGTAAAGGTGTTAACGTCCTCCAAAGCATCTCCATCAAGAGTTAGTGATTTGGCTGGTGCATGTTGTGTTGTGTTGTGTTTAAACACAAGTATTAATGCAAAAGAGAACCAGAATATTTATGAGCCATATAAAAAAAGTGAGATTATAAAGAGAAAGATAGAAATAGGTCAGACAAGTGAATGAAAATGAAAAAATCTAATGTGAGAAACAATTCAGTTTTTAAAAAAGTACGATTAGAAAGAATTCTTCCAGCTCAAGAAGTTGCTTTCACTTAAACGAATAAGTTAAGATTAAATTATAGCAGGAATGCCACTGATTTCTATTCTAAGCCATATCTCATATTGTCTAAAACCACAATGTTGCACTATCCCTAAGACTCCAACCAGGGAGTCGTGAAAGACTGACAGGTGTCAGTTCTTCGATGCTTTCTCTAACATGTCATAAACTGACCACCTGTCCGATTCGTCCAATTAATCCCAGTGCTAGCAAGTAATACATGGTGTGGAATTCCCTTAGGTGACACTCGTAGTACATGTTCAAGCTACTGAAGTCGATACTTCAAAATGGTGAAACTGAATCAATTTTCTTGGCTGTCCCCGAACATATATTGCCGGACCTTCTCATTGCTAACACGGTGTTATCACTGAATGTAAGCAATCATTCGGAAACAACAATTATCGGATACAGAAAGTCTGCAAGCATCTCCAACATAGAAAGGTCAAGTTTCAAAAGCACAGAGAATTGCTCTCGCTGACTTGTTTTAGACCCAGTCTTTCACAGCCAGACCAACGTTGCACTGAAGATGGTCTGGGTTGACATAGGCTTCTCTGGCTTTCATTAAGCATAGACTAATTACATATGTTACGTCACAACCACCACTCACACAACTACTTAAATATACCAACTTCTCGACTACTTATAACAGCCCTCTACCAAGAGTGAGTTCAGGTATTAGCTACTACTGGTCTTGTCAGCGTACTTGCACTTTGAATCATATGCCAGTGTGACTGAGCTTGATAGCCAACTGATTAAATGCAGGTTACACAGTTGGAGTATCATTGCACAGTATGAAAATATTTGGTACTCATTGTCAAAAAGTTTTTCCCCAGATAACAGACTCACATTACCATTACCCACTGTATCGGGATGTTCAGACGTTTTCTGGCTGTCAAACTTTTATAAACAACCTAGTTAGTCCCCTAACCAGAGTTTACCACCATCTTTGAAATGTCCAGAGGATAAGTCATCTGCGCCTGGTGATTTACAGCTCTTCAGTAGTTGATGTTCCGTGAGGACAGATCAGTCAAACTGGCTAAGCAGGACAGAATAGTCTGGTCAATGTCACCGGGCAAGCAGACTAACTGGACCGTTTCTCGAAAAAGTCTGTCCACCATCCAAGACGTCGAAAGATGTCATTGATTGGTGTCCTATCATTTTCATAGATTTTTTCTCTCACTTTCGTCCCAATATGGGACTCATCAGTAGTGCTTTCAGGTTTCTAATGGTTGTCTAACATTGATCGACTCATGATTTTTCAAATGTGTAATTTAAGTAATTAGCCTATATGTGGTAAATGAGTTCATTTTTTTGAAAAAAAAAGTGTAGAATGATTGCATAGCCAAAATATTGATTATATACAAGTTATTACTTATTGTCATGTGACAATTTTCTTACCCACTTTCTTATTCTTTCTATATATATATACTGCGTCAACTTTTTTCCCTCTCTATCTCATGAGTCATGTTGATAGATGTAGGCTATCTGGTTCGGGGTCCGTGAGACAAAAGTCACCAATGGTTAGAGACCCTGAACAACGACATGGCTCAAAATCGTTTGCAATGGCGCAGGTGCATCCACTCTTTGAGCTCTCTCAAATCCTAATCTTCTGGAATCGTCAGTACATCTACCTTTGTCTTTCACTGAATTATACTTCTTGAATAATATTTTCAAACCCTAGTCTTCTTCATTACCATTAATACCTCTACTATCTCTATCACTATGAGATTTGATTTGACATTTGAATCTCTGTGCTAATGTGGTATAGCAACATGAACTTATGTACATACATACGAAGTTCTACGTTGCAACTGACTGACTGACTGACTGCTAACACCACGCCTAACCTTCCTACCTTGGCCAAGCTTATGATGAGCAGTAACCCTAGAAGAGATCTAGGCGGAGTTAGGTTTCTTATTCATTTATTTCATTCTCTACGAACGACTGACTGAACATTGAATTGTGAGTTTATTGTAAAGATTATTCTTGAATTACAAAAACTGCAAATGTGAAAATTTCAAAAGAAAATTATTTTCATGTGTACAAATCATATGATTTAGGAGATAAAACGAAATTATGAGACTTGGATAAAAGGAATTCGTTCAAAGAACAATCATCAAAAGTTATTTATGTTTGATTTTTCAAAAAACAAATGTATAAAAAGAGATTTTGCCGTTTTTTATTTTAGTCAAACACTATTTATGATGTATTGTTCGACACAAACGTTTATTTCAAATATTTTCCGAGGTGTATGCCACTTCTTTCAATGTTCTGGCGTCCTGTTCTCTATCCTACACCAGGTGAAAGTGATTTTTATCAGTAGAAAAAAAATGGTTGACTTTGCATTTTTATATGAAAAAGAACAGTTGTTTATCTGTGATTTCTTTGTACTTCAATGTTTATCTGTCAACATATTCTCGGTATAGACACTTGTCGGACGGGTCTCTTTCACAGTACTCAGTGTATTGTTATGTGATTTAAAATGTTTAGCTGAAAGATCAAACTTTAATCAAAGTATTTATTGTAAGATAAATTTTGTAAAGTATTTCATGATGATCATCGCATCGTGATATCGGATAAATTATGGTGTTCAGTTTAATTGTTTTTTTTTTATCAAAAACGAGAATAAAATTTTTGGAATTCAGGCAAACGAAGTGGAAAAAACACAATACTTCAATTGGCATAACTTGTTAAGACTTATATTATTATATAACCTCTCCGATTACTTCTAATTCCCTTACTACCTCTACTACTATTGGATTTGAATTGACAATTATATCTCTGTGCTGATGTGGTATGGCAACATGAACTGATGTACTTACGTACCAAGTTCTACGTTGCATCTGACTGACTGACTGACTTATATTTATGAAATAAATCTAAATAGGATACATGGATATAAGATATTGAAATGTTGAACCATTTGTCAGTGGCAGAAATCCATGAAGTCATTGACAAGTGGACTGAGTCATGTTGGTAGATGTGTAGGCTACCTGGTTGGGGTCCGCGAGACGAAAGTTACTAATGGTTAGAGATCTTGAAGGACATGGCTCAAAATCGTTTGCAATGGCGCAGGTGTAGCCACTCATTGTGTTCTCCCAAACTCTAACCTTCTGAATTCCTCATAATCTCTACCTTTCTCCTTCTAAATTTATCTTACTGAATTATACTTCTTGAATAATATCTTCGCTCCCTAATCTTCTCCATTACTGCTAATACTTCTACTATCGCTATCACTGTTGGATTTGAACTGACAGTTGCGTCTCTGTGCTGATGTGTGGTATAGCAACCTGAACTGATGTACTTATGTAGGAAGTTCTACGTTGTATCTGTCTGTCTATCTGACTGTCCTCTCTATCTCTCTCTTTCATTTACAATTATCATTTTATGTCTATTTTGAACTTTTTATTGATAATGGTCTCTTTTTATTATTAAATTTTCATATAAAAATACTTTGACAAGTGTTTAATGTGTGTGTGTGAGTGTGTGTGTGTGTGCGTGATCAGATTGTTCCAAATGTATATGGCGTGCAAATACATTACAACATTTTTACAACAACATCAATTACATCTAACTGTTCTATCAAAATATAGTTGTATACCAATAATTTACAACTCTTCAACTGTCAAACTTGTTAGGATATTTTATCCAATATCCTAAGAGAATTATTTGTAAGTCTAATTCTATCGGTCAATTCCTATTGGTCATCCCAACTATCAATGTCACATGCTTCAAATGTTGTTTCCTATTCGATCTGACTGTATAAATATGCATTATCTGTAACGTTTTGATGACCCGGATCGCAAGTCCGGGATCCTTATAATCTTCTAGAATCGGGGCTCGTACTTTCTGGATGCTTTTAGAACTCAAGTTCCACTTCATATCAAGTCTTCTTCTATCTAATGGGGGGGTGGAGTTGGGACACTCGGATTAGAGTAGCATGTCGTGTCGCCAGATCATCGATCCTCGGTCTCGTTCACCGACTAAGGATTCTAGGTTACGGCTTGCCTCGTCACGCATTTGGGTGATTTTCTCAATGTGTATCTTATCTACTTCCAACGCTTTTTCCTAATTTCTTCTACATTTGGAATCTGGTTTTTTCTCCTACAGTTTTTATTAAATTTATGGGAGAGATTTGATTCTGGCTAGTTTGGTCTCGTATTTTGTTACGAGTATGCGGACGGATATCACTCTCTGACTGCCCACATAGTGGTAAGGTATTACTTGAGGAACCTGATAAGGAAGGTAGATTAATGTTGATCTGTGTGTATGTAATAGAAGGGTCAGATCATCTATGAAACCCAGTGAGCAACGCTGTTATTAAGAAACGGGTGCTAGGTAAGGATGGCAGATAAATAGGTGAAGTAATGAAACTTCATTAATTGAGGTGGTTGGGATATGTGCTGCGTATACCTAACCCACCGACTGCCTCGATGAACTTTGTTTTGTAGTGTAGAAGTAGGTTGGAAGAAAGTTAGGGGCGGCCAAACCAAAACATGGCAGAAATCCATGAAGTCATTGACAAGTGTACTGAGTCATGTCGGCAGTTGTCGACTACCTGGTTGGGGTCCGCGAAATGATAATAATCGATGGTTAGAGACCTTGAATGACATGGCTCAAAATCGTTCCCAATGGCGCCGGTGCATTTATTCTTTGTGTTCTCTCAAATCCTAATCTTCTGGATTCTTCAACACCTCTAGTTTTGGCTTTCTAAATTTTTCTCACTGAATCATACTTCTTCAATTATATCTTCTCATCCTAACCTCTCCGATTACTTCTAATTCCCTTACTACCTCTACTACTATTGGATTTGAATTGACAATTACATCTCTGTGCTGATGTGGTATGGCAACATGAACTGATGTACTTACGTACAAAGTTGTACGTTGCATCTGACTGACTGACTCCAGACAAAACGATCTGATTATCAACGTTGAATTGTTACTTTGAAAATATTTCTTTTCTCCTTGTTTTTTCTAGGTTCTTGAAAATCAATTCGACGCTCAGAAAACCAATGAACATTGTTGTTGTATGAGTGGCAATGATGATCATGATCATGATGATAGTAAACTGCACACAAATTCCCAATCATTGACAAATTCGAAAGAAGATAGAATTGACGAGAAATCTACCACCAATGTATCAGCAGGAACTTGTCGCAGCATTTCAGAATCAAGCGATCTAGTCGTATGTATAAATGTGAAATTACATTAGTTTCTGTTTCGTTTAAAATTATCATTCACTCTCACTTATGAGGTCCTGAGCTCGATCCCTGACTGGGGATGAGGTCAATGGCTCCACATCTTGTTGTCTTTCATGATATACTATACAATAATGTGATAAGATTTTTGTTTATAGTGTTTGATTTCTAAATGTACATTGTCTCAAGCTGCATCATACTACTGATATTTCGTATTAGTAGTACAATGTATTGTCAGTTGGAAATATATGAGAAAGTTGTGTATAATTCCTAGTGATTATCACTGCACTTAACTTCCGCATTACTGCTCTATGCCGTTACCATTAAAAGAGTTCATTCATTTGAAGGCATCAATGATTGAACACATTAATTTGTCGGTTATCATTAGCTCGTGTACCCTGAGACAGCCGAGTAAGCAGTGTTGTTGTTTGGAAACGAGTACTATGTAAGGATGGCAGGTCGATAGATGAAGTAGTGAAACTTCATCAGTTGAGTTGGTTGGGACATGTGCTATGTACGCCTAACCACTGACTGCCTTGTCGAGCTATGTGAGCTATGGGAGAAAGTTAGGGGCGGCCAAACCAAAACATGGTAGAAATCCATGAAGTCACTGACAAGTGGACTGAGTCATGTTAGTTGGTATAGACTACCTGGTCGAGGCCGGCGAGATAATAATAATCGATGCTGTAGGAAGGATTTGATTTTGACCAATTAGGTCTCGTGTGCTGTTACGGGTATGAGGGCGGTTATCACTTCCTGGCTGCCCACACCGTGGAAGGTTGTTTCTTGAGGAACCTGAAAAGGAAGATAGATTAGTGTTGGTCTTAACGACCTGGGGGCATGACCACAGAGCCCAAGGGACAACTGCTTGAGGCCGGTCACGCACGGCCTTTTTATGAGTTTTCTGAGTGTTAGCTCCGCTCTTGAAAGCCCTTAGTGGGCACCCTTACCCAGGGAGCCGGAAATCCATGAGGTAAGGTGAGGTGTGACATTTTTAGGGTCGACCTTTTCTAACCCTTCCTTCCTTGTGAGAAGGCAGCATCGCTGCAGATGCTGGTTGTCCAAGGGAAACACCTTACTGCTGTCACACCCCTCTGCAGTCAGCAGTACGACTTCGCCCTCAGACCTTAAGTAGCTGCTTTTAGTCTCATCGTTCTCCAATCGACCTGCCTGGCATGGTAGAACCTTCAGGAACATATGTTCCAGCCAATATAGCTCGGTTGGGTAATCACGATAGGCAAGCCTGACCACCACGTCAAGGTAGCAGATTCGGTCAAGTATAATCGATGGTTAGAGACTGTAAATGACATAGTTCAAAATCGTTCGGAATGGCGCAGGTGCATTCATTCTTTGTGTTCTCTCAAATTGTAACCTGAATTCCTCGTCATCTTCATGTTTTTTCTAATTAAGATTATTTAACTGGATTCTATTTCTTAAATAATATCGTTGAACCCTAATTTTTATGATTACTGCTAATACTTTTACTATCTCTACTACTAGGGGATTTGAATTGACTATTGCGCCTCTATGCTAATATGGTATAGCAACTCGAACTAGTTAGTGTACGTACATATGAAGTTCTATGTTATTGTTGTTGTTGACTGACTAATTATTGATTTCAGTTCAACATTTATCTATAATTGAGATGATCAGAAGCATTTGTAGCTTAAATGTATAATTATTAGGTCAAAGATTGACCTTTAACCCTGATGTTATTTATTATCGGACTTTGTATTTTGATTTTATCCCTCCTCCTATTGATATAATCCAAATCATTAGTCAGAGATACATAACACCTAGGTTAAAAGGTCAACCAACCGTGATCAAGGTCGTTAGGAGTTGTAAGATCCATGTGTCCTACGTTCAACACAACCATGTAAGCTGCTCAGTAAATGCAGCTGCCTTTATAATTGTTTTAATGATAGTATTGATTATCGATTATTTTGCATCGACTGATAAATTGTCTTTTAATTTTCATCCACTTGTAGGATTTAGTTCATCAAGAAATTACAGAACTTGAAATGCGTGCACGTGCTATACGTGCAATGCTTAAAACCAAATCAGATCAATTTAAGGCGTAAACAGGGAGAGAGAGAGAGCACGCGTGCGCGCACGCACGGATTTAATTATCTCATCAATGATCAACAGCTGTTTCACTTGTTATGATTATTATTATTATTGTCATCTTTGTTATCAATGTGAATCGACTTTACGTTTTTTGCGATCAAGTTGCTGCGCATTTCAATCACTTTACTTACAAATGTGAATATACAGGTGTACATATATATGCATTAATAGTGTATATCCCGGTTATTTTTGTTATCCGATTGGAACTCAGAACACAAGAAAAAAAGACAAAACCAATGAACTGTGTGTTTGATCAACAATATTCTTTTTTTTTAGAATTCATCTTATATATTTTTTAGTTTATCGGTTGTTAGTGTACATTTTTTATTATTACTATTATTATTATACTACTTACTTACTTACTGACTGACTATTCAGTAGTATGTTGATGATTGATTAGAAGATGATATATATGAAGAAAAATAGCTTGCTGTACATGTTGTGATGAGTGAGTGACCCTTTGTTTTTTTTCATAAAATCAATGATGATTAGGTGATAAGGTTTAGTATTATTATTTTTTAAAAATGGTGTTTCGTTTGCTTGTGTTATCATTTTGTTTGTATAATGGGAAAAAATATTGATCTTTGAATAATAACCAACTGAAGATAAAAATTTGTTTTAGTTTGATTATTGTAAATACAAAGCGAATTTTTAAAAAAAATTTTAACATGAAATTTCTTTCATAAATATTAATATTGTTCGGTACAATATGGGACTGAGCCATGTTGGTAGAGATATTGTAGACTATGTGGTTGGGGTCCGTGAGATGTATGTCGTCACCGATGGTTAGAGACCTTGTTTGTAATGGCGCAGGTGCATTGACTACTACTTGTCTTCTCTCAAATACTTGTTGTCTAAATTCCTCATCATCTTTATCTTTTTCTTTTTAAGTTTATTTTACTAGATTCTACTTCTTGAATCATATCTTCAAACCTTTATCTTTTCGATTATCGATGAAGCATTAAGACTTCATCAGTTGAGGTGGTTGGGACATGTGTTACGTATGGCTAACCACTGACTGCCGCGGCGAGCTATGTTTTGTGGTGTAGGAGTAGTTTGGAAGAAAGGTAGGGGCGGCCAGACCAAAACATGGCAGAAATGCATGAAGTCACTGACAATTGGACTGAGTCATGTTGGTAGATGTGGGCTACCTGGTTGGGGCCGCGAGACGAAAGTCACCGATGGTTAGCGACCTTGAACGACATGGCTCAAAATCTCTTGCAATGGCGCAGGTGCATCCACTGTTTGTGTTTTCTCTAATTCTAACCTTCTGAATTCCTCATAATCTCTACCTTACTCCTTCTAAATTTATCTTACTGAATTATACTTCTCGAATCATATCTTCGCTCCCTAATGTTCTCCATTACTGCTAATACTTCTACTATCACTATCACCCTTGGATTTGAACTAACAGTTGCGTCTCTGTGCTGATGTGGTATGGCAACCTGAACTGATTTACTTATGTACGTACGAATTTGTAGTTGACTGTCTGACTGCTACCGCGATACCTTGGATTGCACTTTTTGTAACTTGGGAACCGATAGCTCGTCAAATTTGTATATACACGCCCTAAAAGATGGATCATACAATTACTAGACATAATTGGTGTGTTAAAACACACTGAAAAAGGTAACTTGTTGAAATGTTTTAATGTTAATGAGAAACAAGTAGCCCAAATTTTCAAGCTGACAGCTAAAGTAACAATTGGTTTGAACAATTAACCTGAAAATTTCATATATTTGAACCGACTGAACATCATTGATCAGTTAAACAACTGAAAAGTGAAGGATTCCATACAGCTATCATTTCTGCACAATATTTGTTGAATTAAAATAATTACTTATCAATATAGCTTAGTTGTGTGGTAGATACTACTGTTAGCATGGCTTGTCAATAGTATGCAACGTAATGTGTAGTCCATAAGTGATTACTACAGAGAAGAGTGTCGAATCCAAATGTATGGCGTGATTAAAGAGAGAGTTAAAGACAGTCAATAATCTGTTTAGTTAGCGAATGGAAGTCTGAGTAGAAGGTGTGTGTACACATTCCTCTGATGGTTTTGACATGTTCGTTCATCACAGTCAAAGTCAAACTCCTGTATTCTTAAAGCGAATGTGTTTCAGATAAGAATGTTATTTGTGCTAGTCACTTGAACAGAATCGATCATTTTTCTGTATGTGCGTATGTATATGGAGATTCACTCGTCAACTATTTGCTGAAGATACTGATGAAATTCGGAGTCTGACTGCCTTGTGAAACAATACTGGCATGTTCGCGATTCGGTTCTCCCATTTGAAATGAGGTGTCAGGATTGGCTTATGTCGGTACCTGAACTAGTGATAGAAAGTGAAGTAGTTGAGCGTGTTGACCGGTTCATTTATTTCAGGAGTCTCACCAATGCTAATGGCCTGAGCTCAATCTATGTGTTCTAATGTGGTATGACATCTTGAACTGATGTATGTCCGTACGCACGAAGTTCTACGTTGTAGCAGACTGTAGTGAAAGATTGAAAATGTTATTCAGGATAGTTTCAAAGAATTTTATCAGACTGATGAATATATATCTTAAGTTTATATAGAACAGATAGAATGTGGTTAGCGGTGGATTTCCAGTGTGTGCTTTTCATTCTACTTAAGACTCGTTAGCTATGAATACAATACAATACAATGGAGTAGAAACTTGGTGGCCCGCCAAAATCATCATTCAAAAGATACTAGGACTTGGAAACAGTCGTCTACACAAGACCTTGATCCAGATCTATTGGCTAAATACCATCAGTAATGACCTACTGTGAAAGAAAGCAAACCAGATTCCAACGGAGGAAGAAATTAAGAAGAAGCGTTAGAGGTGAATAGAACACAGATTGTAGAAAGCGCCAAACTGCGTTACGAAGCCAGCCTTGACTTGAAACCCTCAGGAACAAAGGAAAAGAAGTAGACCAAGGAACACGCTGAGGCAATAATTGAAAACAGACATAAAAAGGAATGAATAGCGATTGGGTAGAACTAGAAAGAAAGACTTGAGACAGAGTAAGTTAGAGAATGCTGGTCGCAGGCCTATGCTCTATTAGGGTGACAGGCGTAAGTCAGTGGGAAAAGGAGGGTATTTTACCAGACGTAATGAAAAATCAGTTGTATGGTGTAATGATCTCATTCTTAAACAGAAGAGAACTGTAATCGTATCCAGCGTCGAATATAGTAGTCAAGATGTATAACTAGTGTTCTTCTTGGAACACTAATGAATCATATTGTTTTATCTATGAAGTGAATCGCTGATGAAAGAGGTCAGAAATGGGACAATTAACTCTGATTTTAAAATAATCTTGATTTGATTACACTGTCACTTCACATTCATCTACGATTCAGTTACGATCAGGACCTGTGTTCGACTCGGTGTAGTAATTGTGCACGTTTCTCTTCTCTAACTGACAATGGGTGGACGCGGTAAAGGTGGAAAGTCTCGAGCCAAGGCGAAAACCAGGTCAGCCCGTGCTGGTCTCCAGTTCCCGGTTGGTCGTGTTCATCGTCTGCTTTACAAGGGTAATTATACTAAACGCATCGGTGCTGGTTTCCTTGTTTACCTGCCAGCTGTCCTTGAATACCCGGCGGCTGAAGTTCTCGAGTTGGCTGGCAACGCCGCTCGTGACAACAAGAAGACCCGTATCATCCCACGCCACCTTCAATCGGCCATCCGAAACGACGAAAAGTTGAACAAGCTCCTCGGTGGCGTTACCATCGCTCAGGGTGGTGTCGTACGTGCGTACGAAGTACACGTTTTCTAACAAAAGCATTGCTTACTCGATGGTCTTAGGATATACGAGCAATGCTTTGAAGACACCGATTATCGAAAACCAGTAACCTCCGAATATCTTCTACTCTGACTGGCCATGTTTCACAGCCATAAAGTAGGACGAAGTGTACTGCTTCGCAGTACACTCGTCACTTGGTTATTAAACGGTTTAATCGCCTATTCCACAAGTGACTTAAAATCGGCAAAAGCCAGTTGAGCTTTCTGTATTCGTGCTTAGGCATCTACAAACACCAGGCCATCAGCCCTAACGAGACTCCCAAGATATGTGAAGCAGTCACCACATTCAACTCATTCGTCTATGATTAAAATCTTAGATGACAGTATAAAACAAGTCCCCGCAATGAAAATCGCATTCATTCTTCGAAATGGTAATATTGTTTTAAACAGTTTCTTTCATAAAATGCCAAGATGTATTAACACAATTGCCTAGTGAATAACCCATGAAATGCATATCAATACAATCATTTGGTTTAAATAACTTTTATCTTTCGTGGTTGAACAGCGTTTTAAAAAAGAGTAAACACGCCATTGTTGTTGTATTTAGAAATATATCTCTAATTGGATAGTTTACATCAATAATTCAGTAGTATAAGTTGTAATTAGTCAGTGACATTTCATCATCTATCAGTTATTTGAACAATTTAAGATGTAATTTAGTTTGAATGAGATCTCATACTTGGAGCACAAGTCAGTAGCTAGATGGATAGCACGACATCATCCTGAAAAAAAAAACAACTATACTGTGTTTGAGTCTCGGAATAGAACACCAACACTGAGATGTGGCAGGTACTCATAGCTTACTTACTCATTTACTTTCACCTATTACACCCAATGGAGCATAGGCCGACGACCATTATTCTTCAACCTACTCTGTCGTAGGCCTCTCTTTCCAGTTCTGTCCAATAATTGTTCATTTTTCTCATGTCTTTCTCTATTTCTCGGCGAAATGTGTTCCTTGGCCTTCCTCTTTTCTTTTCGCCTCAAGGATTCTAAGGCAAGGCTTGTCTTGAGACGCAGTTGGGTGCTTTCCTAAGTGTGTCCTATCCACTTCCACCGCTTCTACCTGATTTCCTCCACCACTGGAATCTGGTTTTCACTTGCATTCATTGCAATATAAGTGGGATAGAAGAGCTTTTATATAACAGAGCGAACAATACAGTCAGTATTAAACAACTTATTAGTTGAAATAAGATATTTTTATCGTCTATTGATTACACTTGAGTTAATAATGCATTTTTGAATATCAAACCATGGATAAACAGGTTTAAACTTACTCTAAAGTTTGAGAATTCAACGCAGCTCCATTGATTCACATACTGAAAGAATTGAAAAAAATGTATCACAAAATTCGCCGCTTGACAGTAAGAAACATATCAGTTATTGTCAGTATGAAGTTGTGGAGATTGTCGAGTTTCATTGAAATTGTATACGGATTCACGTTGCATGATATTCGTGCAATATTGTGGATTGAATGAAGT